GGGGGGGGGGGGGGGGGGGGGGGGGGGGGGGGGGGGGGGGGGGGGGGGGGGGGGGGTTCGGCCGCCGCCGCGCCCCACCAGGTGTTCGTGTGTTTCACCCACGTGGAGACGGGGATGGACACGTTCTTCGTAGCGGCGCCCCTCGGCGGCGAGGCGAGCGAGTTCGCGGTGTCGGTGTCCCTGGGGGAGGAGTCCCAGACATTCGCTCAGAGGTCCGGGGAGTACGCGGTGACCGCCCTGGTCGGCGGGCCGCTGGTTGCGCCGCCGATCTCGGAGAGGCTCGGGTCCATCCGCCTCGGGTTCTCGGAGGCGAAGGAGCGCAAGTGGCCCATCTACGCGCGGCCGCTGCTGCACGAGACGGACGTGTCGCTGGGCCCTCTCCCGGAGAAGCACCACACGTTCCGAGAGCCCGAGGTCAGGCCGCACGCCGGGGTGTCCCTCCTGTTCACCGCCCTGGTGCTGGCGCCGCTGGCCGGGCTGGCGTACGGCATGTGGCGCGGCGGGGCGGACCTGCGGCGGCTGCCGGCGGCGGGGGCCGGGAGGGCGTGGTGCGCGGCGTACCAGGCGTGCATGGTGGGCGTGGTGCTGCTGTTCGTGACCTACTGGGCGACGCTGACCATGGCGTACACGCTGCGGGTCCTGGCTGTGCTGTCGCTCGTAACCACCGTGACGGGCAGGAAGGCGCTTCAGTCGCTGGCTGTGGCGGACGAGGGCGCACGGCGCGCGGCGGATAGCGGTAGCCACATCAAGGGGGATTGATTGGTGTGTTGGGGGAGGGGGAAATAGTTGGGGTTTTGTCTTGTGCTTGCGGCTGGAGCTGTATGTGTGTGTGCTTGCAATGTCTCTGTGTTGTTTTTTCAGTTGTGTTGTTATGCAATTTTCGCGTGTGTGCACCGCTGTGTAGTTTCTCTCTCGTGTTGCCGTGTAGCCCATGCTTTGTTGTGGGTGATGAGCGCGGACGAAGCTCGAGGATAGGCGCAGCGTCGTTGATGGAGGATACACGGGGTGCTTGGGGCGTCGCTGTTAGGGGGACGATGGACGGGAGAGGCAAGCATGAATCTGGCGTGCTTGTTTGTGCAGTCTCCCGGTTTTTGTCGGTGTTTAGCTCGGACCTCCACGATGACCGGCGACGACAGCACGGGCTGTGCTAGAGGGTGCAATAGAACGAGCAACCTACTATCTGTATGAGGCTTGGTTGAAGTGGCTGGCGCATTCGTGAAATATTTCATGATTGCACATTCGCCGGTGTACTTGCACGGTGTAATAATCGAGTCTTCAGCGCTCTACGATGTACCCCGCCATTTTGTTTTTTCAAACAGTTTGCGTAGTGCAGCGTGTGCTTCACCGGTTTGCACACGCAGGAAGGAATACACTAGTGCAATTAAGGAAAATAAGTTGACGACACAACACGTGGATTCCACTTTTGCAGACACGGTGTTCCATCGCGATGTACGTACACGGTGTAATTATCGAGTCTTCCGCGCTCTACTAGATGTGAAGACAACTGACACCCGCCCATTTTTCGTTTTTTGCAGACAGTTTGCGTAGTGCCGCATGTTCTTGACCGGTTTCCACACGCATGAACAAATTAGTGCAACTCACGGAAAGAACTGACGACACAACATGTGTTAAAGCGCGGGAACGCCGGGGGGCCGGCGGTGTGTACCCTGGCGCCCAGCACCCTGTGAAAACCTTTTCGGAGAACTCCCCAAGCAGATTTTAAGTCTCTTGAGGGTCCAGGCCGACAACGACAGACAAAAGCTAACCACGCCTGCTGCGAAATTGGTGTGCGTCTATCGGGTGAAAGGCCGCGGAGATGTTACTGCGGGCAAAAGCACATGTTTGTTTATGTCACGATCTGACCCGTCCGTGCTCCCATATTCTTAGCTCAAGTCGGCCTCGCTCATCTGCTGCCTCTGGAGAACGCCCAAATACGTATTAGTACGTCGGGACACCCCGCCCAGAAAAAGCAGCAAGGGGTTTGGAGCCCAAGACATTTGGAAGACGTCCACCGGGCAAACGCATTTCGTAACCAGCTGGTTTTTTTTTTGTTACTTCGCCCCATCCGCTTCTTCTGAGTTCCCCTCGGGCGTCCTTCTTTTGCCCGATGTATTGGCCGCCCCAAGAGACGTGCACAGGAACACAAGGCATTCATGCCTGAACATTGCTGTCGTCGTTGTCGTTGTTGTTGATGATACTGCGTCAATGGTGGTGTTGCTGGTGTTGATCTTCACATTTAAACCCTTGACCCGATAATGTTCAAGATCGCACTCCTGTCGATCAAACCAACTCCGAGTTGCAACTTGTCACCACAGTCCGCCACGGCACCGTGCCAACAAAAGGCTGCGCGGTGCCCGCAAGACCCACCGAACGCCAGACGATACCCCGCTTACTGCCATAAACCAGCAAAGCACAAGAAGGACCGCACGGCGTGTCAAAACAAGGCATGGCCACGCAAGACAGCCAGCAGACCGAAGGCGGCATCGACAACAAAAAACAGTCGGGTCGTGTACCAACACGAAAACAGGGACTACGTGTGTGCCCGNGACGATACCCCGCTTACTGCCATAAACCAGCAAAGCACAAGAAGGACCGCACGGCGTGTCAAAACAAGGCATGGCCACGCAAGACAGCCAGCAGACCGAAGGCGGCATCGACAACAAAAAACAGTCGGGTCGTGTACCAACACGAAAACAGGGACTACGTGTGTGCCCGCGGGGGGGGGTGACCCAAGCAGAAAAAGAAAACGAGAGCAACACCATCCCCTGGGACCCCTCGCACCGAGACGGCATGTTTAATCGTAATAGGTATCAGGCATCAGCCATACCTCCTACTTCCACGGTAGCCAGGGGTTAATGTAGGCGCGCCCCCCGCCCCCTCGAGGGGTGGGGGTCGGATGGAGACTACGGCACACTGCTTGCTACACCGTTTGCCGTACAAAATAGCATCATGCGAATGTGAAGGAGAAGCGACACGGCAAGCAAGGGTCAATCTCTACCTGGCAGGACACGATGATGCAGTGTACTACTAAACGTCGTACAAGGCCAAAACGGACTTCCCAAGGTTGAATAAACTAACAAGTGCCACGTGACGAGATCACCATCAACCTCGCGCCCAGCCCTACGTGCAGTCACACGATATGGTATGGTAGGCATGGGCACTTCCCATCGACACCCGGTGTCCTTGCCAAGAAAATCCACCTCCCTCCGTGCTCCGCTCGACACAAGAGCTACTAGAGGGATACCGTCGTCCACAATTTTAAGTACATGGCCAACAACCGTAATGTTTCATGACAATAGGCCCCCAACACCAGCAGCAAGCAAATACGGTCTCAGAAACAGTGGGGACTTCGTCTAGAGCTCTACGCCATGACCCTTGGTTGCTATGCATGAACTATGTAGTTTTGGTCGTTCTAGAAGATCAAACGCTTTAATCGGCGCTCATCTCCACCCTCTATCAGGTGAGGCGGGACAGGGGGGCGTGATTCCGCGGACGAAAACCCAACGTGGTTGTCCGATCATCCACCCCATACCGTCACCCGCCATATGTCGTGATCGCAACTTACTTCATTGCGCGCTCTCCAGCCGGGATATGTACACCATTGTTTTCCCGCCGACGTTGCCATCCGTCCAACATACCACACGGCGGGGCAAAAGCATAGGACGCCAAAAAATTCCAATAATGCGCCGGAACTAGGGGTAGCAAACGAGAGAGCGTGTCGCAATCCTCGTCGTGCATCACACACTGTGGACCCCGTGTGTGCCCGCAAAACCCAAGTTCTCCGCAAGTTCTCCGCTCTGATGTGCGGACCAGATCATAAGAGTGGTACTTACACAGGTGTGTGTGCGTGCGCACGGACTACCTTGGTGGCACGCAGTTCGGGGGGGGAAAACAGCGACAAGAGACCAGCAGCAGGTGCCTTGCCGTGCTATTGTACCTGCCTCACCCCTCGCGTGAGCGCACCAATCCCAGGAACAACCGCCGCCCCACCAACCCAGCGCGCGCGGGTAACAAANGGGGGGGGGGGGGGGGGGGGGGGGGGGGGGGGGGGGGGGGGGGGGGGGGGGGGAGGACGCACACAAACTGCTCTTTTCACGCAGAGGGGTGGGTGTCGTCGTCCAGAAGCTTGAAGCGCTTCTCGTTGCACCCGAAGGCCTGCGGCGTGAGCTTGATGACCGTGTGGAGCGGGATGCTGAGGTAGGGGATCTCCTCCGACGGGAGGTCCAAGAAGTAGGCGTACAGGCACCGCAGGACGGCCTTGGTTGTGTGGTTCGTTTTTTTTTTTTTCAGGAGACAAGAGGTGAGAGAAGGGAACCGATAAACGGAGGGGGGGGAGAGGGAGCAGGAGAAAGAGAGAGACAGCGACAGAGCGAGAGAGAGAGAGAGAGAGAGAGAGAGAGAGAGAGAGAGAGAGAGAGAGAGAGAGAGAGAGACAGAGAGAGAGCAGCAGNAGAGAGAGAGAGAGAGAGAGAGAGAGAGAGAAGAAGATGAAACAGACGCATGCACACACGGGCGCGTGAATCAAAGCGAAACGGATGCAACACATGGCGCCACAAAGCACAACCGAGGCTCCGCACACACTTCAACAACAAGAGCGAGGATGCAGTCACACAATCAACACAGCTTAATTAGGAGACGGTCGAAACGTCGCGTAGACGATGCGTCCATTGTCATGCCTTTTTGCGCCCGCGGTGCAGGACGGGGCAGTAGCATTGCCCGAATCCGCGGGCCTTGAACAGCCTTCAGCCGTAGGTTGGTTGCGCTTGCTTGTCAGCGGTGTATACCCGCTCTGCAAACCATAAAACTGTACTCGCCGCAAGGGGAACCGGATCGCCTCGACGGGGGGCATTACCTAACAATTCCACTCATACTTAACACCTGGAGGTGGACAAGCTTCTACTAGGGTTGGCCGAAGGAAGCAGTACCGTGCGTGAGTTCGGGTTTAGATCGCCAAGAGACAGATTAAGTTCTGGTCCCTGTCTTCGCTTTCAAAAACGCGCCAAGACCCCTGATGCTCTGTCAGGAGGAGCGAGGCAGTGTCCGCTGCATAGGTTACCATCACCTCTTTGGCTGTTGAGTGGGTTTCGTCGACAGATGTCGGACCGGCACGGGGATGACACGAGAACAGAGACCGGGAAACGAACTAAAGGCATGCATGCGCAGGGCGACACACGCTGTTCCGCGCTTCCAAGACTCATGTGCTTAATTCTCTCAAATGATAGATCAACGCCCCCCCCTCCCCCGTAGCATATGGTAAAACGGCACCTTCCCTCTTGCGAGAGGTACGGCCTCTACCCTACCCACGCCATTCGACAGCAGCAGCACCGGTTCACTTTTTGACACACACGTGTCCACTTACAGCGGAAAAAACAGTGCCGCGCACACGTACGATTGACAAGGACTCGCCGTTTTCGCAAAAAAAAAAAAAGTACAAGAAACATCGTAGGTACCTGGTGCGCGATGATGAGAAGCGGGGCCTTCTGCCGCTCCATCTCGAAGATGACGGGTTCCAGGCGGGCGATGATGTCCAGGTAGCTTTCGCCCCGAGGGTAGCGGTAGCGCAGCTTGTCCTGCTCACGTGCGCGGTACTCCTCGGGGAAGCTGGCCTTCACCTGGACGAACCACACACGTCAGGAAAATACGGCCTGAGGCGCGAAGACAAGACACTCGAAAAGGACTAGAGGCAGAACCCTTTTCGGTTCCTTTCTCTTTTCGTCTTCCACCTTTCTGTCATTCTTGGGATTGGTACGTGTGTTGCCCCCGCAGTCTGCTCGTGCTGGTTTTGGCATTGGTGCGGAACATGGCGGCACCGGTTAGACAATTAGAAACGGGGTTTTCGCCGCGAGCGTTGACCCGCAAAACAACGACAACAGCAACAGCCACGACTATGACAACAGCGACAGCATAAGCGTCACCTGCGCGTAGGTCAGCCCGTCGCAGACGCCGACCTCGATCTCCCTCAAAGCCCTCCACTCCACGTATCGACTCTTGTCGATCTCGGCCGCCGTCTGCCTTGCCCTCCTCATCGTGCTGCTCCACACGCACAGCTGAATAAAAAAGATAAAGAGATACACCGGTTGGGTGGATGTTCGTGGTACTTTTGGTGGGTGGCCGTCGATCTAAAAAAATGCCCCACGAGAAGAGGCAGTCTTGGTTGCGGTATTTTGGGAAACGCCAAGCAAAAAATAAAAATAAAAACGTGTCAGGAGCTGGGGCAACGAGACCAACGGGTACCCTTCACGGAGGTCTTGACGGTGACTGTGCGCTGCCCCTACGATACGCACACACGTACAGCAATGACATACACCGACGGCACGGTCTGCAATGTTGTTCTCGTTGTCTTCACATTTAAAACCGTTTCGTTTGAGTCTTAACACTCGACGCGGTCGATTCCCGTGGTCACAGGCTAACTTACCCTAAAAGGTAAACGGACCCGAAATATACTCCCAATCGCATATTTTTTAATTCTTATTATCTGAAGTAAATAACAATTACGGCGACGACAACAATGGCGAGACCGCCTTTGAACAAAACGCGACAAAAGCAGCGGGGGCGGCGGTATACCTCGTCGTTGGGGAGCTCCTCCGATTGCTTTACGTAGTCCACGAGGACCTTCGCGTACTCCTCTCCGAGCGGCGAGAGCGGGGGGTCACCGCCGATGAGACCCTGCGTGTTGAACATGCTCTCCCCGTGACGGCTGTGCTTGGATTGGATTGGTTCGAGCAATAGGGAAATAAAACACGAAAAAAAACACCCGATTGAAAACAAAAAAATAACGAGGAAGGGAGACAGCCGAAATACCTTCAGCAATGTCGCAGATAGAAATTATATTGGGTTAATGAACATAATGCGTTGGTATCGATACAAGGTCAGATACAAGTCGCGAACATACATAACCTGGTTAGACATGAAAAAACCAGCATTATCAAATATCGAAATCAGCCACGTTCCAAAGGGAAAAAACGAAAAAACAGCAACATAAGAACACAGCAACGCGACGCTAGACGGCACAGGCCGAAACCACGCGAGGACCGAGGGACAAAAAAAAAAGAGAAACAAACAGCAACAAACGTGAATTATCCCAGCCAATCACCAGGAGGCAGCGGCGTTGAACCTGCGGTCGAGAAAAAAAAGGAGTGGCACACACAAACTCTCAAGTTGAATGATGAGCCCGACCTTTGCCCTTGAACGTGAAGCGGGGCGCACATGACACGCTGAACGGATAGAACACACAGCAAGGACTTGTGGCGGCCTACGTCGTGATTCCCACTAGAGGAGCATCAGCAAGGGAACAAAATAGCCGTAGTGAGTCTCGCAGTCCAAACACTCTTATCACCTGATGAACACGGGCTTGCCCTGAACGTGCAGGTTCATGAGGAACGACGTGATCTTCGTCGGCACGAAGCCCTGCGCGTTGTGGATCTCGATCCTGACCCCTCCGTCGTAAGACTTCACGTAGCTCCCTTCGTCCGTCTGTTTACACCCCCACGGCAACAACATGAGCAGGTGAAAAAAACAATCTCAGGCAGGGTGGTTACGTATCGTGTTGCATGTCGGACTGCTTCGCAGGGGAAGGGTATGGCAGAAAAATGGGGCGGGGGCAACAGCAAGTATACCTATGCATGCCATATGCGGAGTACATACTATTTACGAAAGGCGAATCGGCTCAATGCATACGGTAGACGGGTGTATCGCATGTCGTGGTCAAAAAGCAATTGAATTTCACAGCAAGACCTGTACAGTCGACCCCGCTTTAGAGAAGCTCGCGTTAAGGAAACTCCCCTATTGGAGGAAACTTGTTTTGCTGAGCACCAGGGGCCCCGGCAGAATATATGATATTAGGGTATCCCCATTTTTCTGTCGCGTACCCCCCTTCTTGTGTCCTGCGGGCCTGCGGGCCGCTCTTTGCACGAACCACGCACCACAGCGAGTGCAGAAGTAGCGATGCACAGACAGCAGAAGTAACGAGCGGTCTGCTGCTGCAGCTGTAACAGGGTGTTGGTATAGATAGATTCCTCCAATCTACCGGCGGTCCATCTGATGACGCCAAAACAAAAGTCGTCCATAATCTCGTCGCTCACCGAGGGCGAGGTTATCTCTCGCTTGGAGGACGTTTGATCCTACAGTTAAGAAACGTCAAAATCGGTTCGAGCCTCAATCCCTTCTTTTGGGTCGAACTAAAGGCCCCAAGTCGTCCATTTTCGTAAATGGCATTTCTGCTCCCTTTGGGCTGTCGCATCCTCCCGATTCTCTCGCCACTCATGAGAGGTGGTGGAGAGTGCCATCAAACCCGTACAACAGCGGACAGCACATGGTTGTCCGCGATGTGTGGCAGTACTACAGTACAGCACTCACTGTGAACAGCAGGGGCGCGTGGGGGCGGGGCGGGGGACTCTGCCCCCTAGAAATAAAATGCACTTCTGTTCAGCTTGGGAGGGGGGTGGGAGCATCGCAGATTTCTGATGCCATGGGGGTATCGCACCATCATGTTCCTTATTGGAGCGTTCTTACGTTGTGGCCGAGATTGACCTATGTTTCTTAAGCCCTTTTTTCTTATTTTTCGTACAAACTTGAGTCTTTTTTCTTACCAGAATCTTCTTAACTGCGGGCGCTATCTGTATTTGTACGCGAAGGGAAGGGGTGACGAGTACCGTGAGACGCAGTACCTTCTTTCGAAGACCGGTCATTCGTTTATTCACGAACCTCAACAGAGCCGTAGAGCCAAGCCGTGGGGGGAGGTTCAGGGAACACTTCGCGATATGTGCAAGGAAAAGCCATCAGGGTAGCTTTTGGTCTCCGCCGGGACGGTGATATGTACTGGTGCTCCTCGGTGCGACGCTGAAATACGCTCGTTGTTTTTTGTTTCACAAGAATGAGACAAATAGACGATATGTCTACTTGGACTTTGCTTCTTCTTCCGCTGCCGGCTATGCGGTACATTAGTTGGCCAAGTACAAACGTGTGGTTGTTTCAACACGTCCGTCCCCGACTGCTGTACATCTCATTTTAAGCTTTGTAAATATGTTCGACGTCAACACACGGTCGCCAGTCGTCTCGGCGATGCTGACTTTTCGTACCACCCCCTTCCTTAGCAAAAGACCCGTAGTTCGAGGAATAGCATGCCTCCATTGGCCCCGGGGGTGGTGAGCTATCGTCTCCTGAATATTAAGGACGCAACCGGGCTTTTAGGACGCTTTTTTCTCGGGAAAAAACATGTGCGTCCTTAAAGCGGGGTCGACTGTAACGCACAAGAACCCGCCTACGGAAGGACAAAACGAAAAACAGGAGTGCCAAGTGTCTCTGATCACCGTGACCGGTCGGCACCGCTGCTTTAGCTACTGTAGCCGCCAAAAAACAAATGAAACAGAAGCGCACCTCGAGCGTCTCGTACGCCGCGCGGTAGTAGTCTAGCCTCTGCCTGAAGTCCTCGCCGTCGATGAAGTCGGGAGAAAACTCCTTTAGTCCCTCCAAGTTCTGGTCCACCACCTGCGGGAGGAGGTGGGTCAGTGCGGAACCAGCAGCAGCGCGGCAATCATTCAGGCAATTAAATCAGTAACTACAAAGCGCTACGTCGAAGTACCACAGGAGCGCACCAACCATCATCGTAATCCCGGCACACGAGTAAACCAAGGCTGGCGGCCTTGGCTGACGCGGCGTAGCATCGCAAACATACACGTCACCACCACAAAGACGGCATCGCGCCCGTTGGTGCAGCGAGCATTGAGGGAGCCTACCGCGACGCGCGTCGCATGCGGGTGGCGGCGGTCATGCAGAAGGAGGATTTCACACCACACCATACCACGACCCAGACTTCTACAAACCTTAAAACACTACTTCCACGGCCGGGGTAGGTGTGG